AAATGTTGTGAAGTTGTTCAGACAAGAATGATGCGACATTTTATTGTTTTTTTAACCCCAGTGCACAACATGCATCTAGCCTACAGTACGTGATCCTTTTGAGTTTGTTTTTCACACTGACTTAAAGGTCCTAATTTATGTTGTAGGTTACTATTCAGGACGACAAACAGTGGGAGACCATGTCCTAAATTTCAGCTTTTAATTATGTAACTTAATGTAAATAAACTTGGGTTTATTTCTGATTTAATTGAATCAACTGATAGCTTTACAATATCCCAAATGCTGCCTTATTAGAGCATGAATAATGTCTTCTGAAACTTTGAACTCATTTAACAGCGAGAACAGTTTTGCACTGTGATTTTTTTGCGCTTTGGCGACATCTGGTGGACATATTGTGCAACTTCAATTAAAAAGAAACAAAAGCCCTGAGAAAAGTTATGCATGGAAAAAAACTAGACTACACTGGGTTGATTGGTTTCCCTTTTCATACAGAAAGGAGCTCCAGAAGGCCTTGTTGCGCTACACTGCAGACACCCTCATCCACATCCACACGGTGAGAGGATTCTGTGAGAGGGCCCTGAATGGATGCTAAGAGGGAGTCAGAGTTAAATGATGATGGACATAACATCAGCCAGGTGACCGCAAAGAGCAGGGGAAGAGCTGGAGAAGGAGCTGGCTGCTGTGCTGAAGGACACTCTGATGGAACTGGAGAAGCTCCACTGTTTCCTGGATGCGGTAGAGAAGCTGGCAGTCACCTCACTTCATGTGTTCATGGAGGGGAGGCAGGTGGTGTTGCACCTGCCAGAGGGGGTCGGCCTCGATCATGTTCAGGTTGTGATCGCTGCCGCACGGCTGGTCTGCCCTCTGCTCGTTGAGTTTAAAAGAGATGAAATGGTCTTCTTCCAGCCCAAACTGCAGAATGTGGAAGTGCTGGCGTATCAGCTGGACAAATACATCCAGACCACCCAGAGGATCTGTGGACTGTTGGAGAAAAGGTAAACCGTCATTCCTTAAAAGAAAATCTTTATTTATTTCTAAATAGAAGTCGGTTTCAGTGAGTAAATATAACTGTGTCTTTAAAAGCACTTCCAGTGACTTCGACCTGAACATGATCAAGAAATCTGCAGTAGACCTGGATTTGGATTTATCAGAAGACGACATGGAGAGGATGCTCTATCACATCAATCAACTGGATGACATCAGGTTAGCAGCATCATTCCATATGTATGCATTCTGGTCATTTAAGTAATACAGTCAGGGTATACTCAGGATACACAATAGGTGGCCCAAGATAACGTTGATATCATGACACAGCGATTCTGCAATAATTGATAAATTGTAAGAAAATCATAAAATTATCCATGATGATATCTAACTAATTGGAGATGACAAAATGAGCCTTCAAAGGTAAAATGCAGGATTAATGTATATTCACTGCATTTGGTGTTACGTTAACCTCATATCAGGCTTCATCTTTTCAACACGCTGTTGTAGCCCACTGTCAACTTCTTTGGTCAGCTAAACTGTTCATGTTTCCCTTATTTATGTCTTAAATACCACCATGATGAGTAATGAAGTCGTCTTTATTTAAAGCTCCTTAATTAAAACATTTTAATATCGACACTGTGCACCTTCAGTTAGATAACTGTACCCCTCGCTTCAGTTTGACAGTATATTGCCGTTGTGATATTTTGCTGTTAACGTTGCTTATGATCGTGCATGAACTGTACCGTGACGAAGCACACCTCTCCGAAGCGTGCCATGGCCAAGTAAGTGTACCGTGCTTGAGCACGGCATGGAGCGGTCACACTGGTCAAACAAACTGGACTTTAGAGGTGAAGCGTGCTTGGGCACGGTACAGAATGCCAGTGTGACCGCGCCCTAAAAACTCTTCACAGGAGCTTTAAAGAGTTCAAGGAGTTAGGACCTCAGTTACAGTTGTGAATTATTTTGTTAAATATCCTTTTATTCATTTCCTGTTTTCTCTCTTCATCAGGATGAACCAGCACTTCTCTTTGGTGTACTTGTTTCATGACTGCTCTGGCTTCCTCGACGAGTTCAGAGATTGTCAACCTCGCCTGCTGCAGTCTCTAGATGGACTGGAGGAGATTGCTGTTCAGCTCGACTCCATGAATAAGGGGGCAAAGATCTCCAGTGTGGTGGGCAGCTCAGTGGGGGCGGTTGGAGGCGTGCTTTCCATCATTGGTTTATTGATTCCTGTAACAGCTGGATGTCTCTGGCTCTTACCATGACTGGGATAGGGCTTAGTGTCACCAGCGGGGTCAATGGCGTGTCACTACGGCGACAGAGTTAGGAGTAAACAGTACACAACAAAAGAAAGCCACTGAGGTCTTCGAGGGGTTCATGAAGGATTTGCAGAGTCTCCAGGATTGTCTGAAGAAAGTCAGCGATCAAACTCGCCAGAATGGAAGCAAGTCAGATAGATGTAGTCTTGGGAGTGGGCAAGGTGCTTATCAAAGGTGGTGTCAAGTTTTACAAGAACGTGCCAAAGGTGGCCGCAGACATCCCAGATATCGGACAGGCAGCAATCAAAGGGCCTCTGCCTCACCAAGTCCGCAGAGCCGGTCTCATCGGGCTGAATGCTCTTTTTCTCGGCATGGATGTCTTCTTCATCTGTAAAGACAGCATCAGTCTGTCCAAAGGCAGCGAGACCGAGGCCTCACAGTTCATCAGAGCCAGAGCGGCACTGTGGCGCTCAGAGATCGACGCCTGGCAGAAAATCCACGACTCCCTGATAGAAGGTCTGCAGAAATCAGAGAAAAACAAAGCTATCCTGGAAATGCCATTTCATCCAGAGTTGGAGAGTGAGCTGAAGATGGAGACGAAGAAAAAAAACAAACGGAAATGGAAATTCCCCCTGATGAAGAGAAGGAAAACATGGAAAAGGAAGGAAAAAAAATGTGTAATACAGTAGTCTTCAGGTATGATTGGCCTGTTTTCTTTTTTTTAGCAACTTGAGCAATAAGATTTGATATCAACTTAATGTATGATCCAACAAAGAAATGATAATTGCACTTTGCTTAAAGATTACTGTTCAGGATCAAACACTGTTAAAATTAAAAATGTATGTAATTATTATGACATTAAGCAACTTTCCATGCCACTTTTCTTCTCGTGAATGTTGGATTTTTTTTAACCTTTCGCTGAGCCAGATTCATTTTCAAATTGAATTTGAAACAGTTGTCTGTAGGAGAAATCAATACAGTTGAATTGTCTCTCCAAAGGGAACTTGAATAAATGGGCCCTTAGCGCTTAAATGTGTGGGCTCATTAAAGGTGAAGTTATACTCATAATTGATATCCTGTGATCATATAACCATTTCATGTTTTTGTAAACCTAATTTTTGAATAAAAAAAGAATCCCTGAGAACTCCACATCATTTTGTTCTTCCTTTATTCATATATATACACTACCAGTCAAAAGTTTGGCCATAATAGTAATATATTATTATCAATAATACAGAACACTATATTATGATAATATAACTACTGTAAGCTGTCTCTAGGGAACACATACTAATGGAAGGGGTTTTCTTTATTCTAACTATTTTCCACATTTTAGAATAATACAAAAACTATAAAACAATAAATAAAAACAATAGAACTAAAAAACATTTAATTTAATTTTTGTTTAGAAAAGAAATGCATACATACGGAGGCATCAACTTCACTATTTCTATTTATTAAGAAACACATGTCAAGCTTTTAAGCACAAGCCTTTAGATCAAAATGTATGAAAGAGGATTAGGACCACTGACTTTTTTTTTTAACAGTCGGCCTACTATTAAATGTTGTTACTGCGGAGGAAGAGGATGTGGAGATATGAAAGACTTAACATGGGAGAAGATCCAGATCAATTACAGTGTAGTTATAGCCTATACATTTAGGAAAAGGCAGAATTATTGGCAAGGACATTTGTTAAATTCCATAGTCACGAAAGTTTGAGTAATGAGGAAAGGAGTGAAAGAGAGGAAAACAATATAAAGAAATGTAGAAGCTTTGCAGGATGAGAGGGATGATGATTCAATATGTTGTTGACTTTATTTAACAGAACTGGATCAAGCTTTGAATAAATATAGAAAAACATCACCATGGAAGACATCAGGTCAGTGACTGTTTGTTAATCAAATCAAGTGATAAGGGCAAATAAATATTTACATTTATTTAAAATAATAAGATATGGGAAGAGGGATGTTTACCCTCCCATTGGAAAGAGTCATGAATTGTCCCCAAATGCAAACCAGGCAACGATTCAAGTTCAGCAGAAAGTCATAAACCAATTGTATTGACATCTTGTGTAGGGAAGAACTATGAAAACAATGATACATGAATGATTCAAATCTAATGTAGAGAGTAAGGGACTTTTAAAGGATTACCAAAGTGGATTTAGGACACGTTTAGGTTTACCAGGTCTGTCCGGCAGCCTGCCCCACCACCTGATCCATCTCGCCTCCAGGTGGGAATCAGCTGCTGACAGCTCTGGCTCCTCTCTTCACTGGAGTGTCGAGATGTGAAGATATAACTACACAGTCCATCATCGATCTTAATCTGAGTTGTTACGGTACCAGGTACACTTACGATCATCCCAGTACACAACAAAAGAAAGACACTTATGAATGTAGGCCTACGTGGGTGTGACGAGATGAAAACGAAAAAAACACAGGGGTGTCATGTGAAGTTTTTTTCTACGGAGCTTTTCAATATAAAGTGTGATCTCTAGTCTCTATTTTCATTTTAGCCACGCAGATAAAATGAAGAGAGCCCAGTAAAGTTACAGAAGACAGCAGCATAAAGAGAGGCAACAGGACTTCCGCGTCAAGGTAAGGAACCCTGCATCTGTTACTACTGTTGCATAGGAAATTATAAATACATGCCATCGCAAGAATAAAAGAAAACTGTACGTTGAGATACAACGAGCTGCCTTCAAGTGTTTGATTTTTGTGTGTTTCTTTAAATGTTGAATACGCATTAAAAACATTTCATTTCATTTTTGTTTAGAAAAGAAATGCATACATACACAGGCATGAACTTCTATTTATTAAGAAACACATGTCAAGCATTTAAGTACAAGCCTTTAAATCAAAACGAACGAAAGAGGATTAGGGCCACTGACATTTGTTTTGTTTTTTTGGTGGGGGGGTGGTTGACTTTTTTTGTCATTTTTATTTTTTTATTTGGACTTTTTCTCCTCAGAATTCAGACTTTAATTTAAGAAGTTTGAGATTAAGATCAGAATTCTAAAAGTCAGTCGGTGTTGAGGAGTAAAGAGGTTTTTTGCGTATGGGAGAGTGAGTGAGGAGATAACGGACCGGGAGGGGAGTCTTCTCCGTTTGCCCGTTTAACACTTACATGATTTGAATTATACTTTTCTCGAGACTCAGAAAACGAAACCATTATTTCCAGACTGAGTTTGGTCCATCGGTAAAAACGGAGATTATTGGAGTGGGGTTGTTGGTGAGAGGAGTGTGATTAGGGAATTTAGGACAGACCATTCCCCTCAGTGAAAATGTGCAAGAGCTGCAGAAAGTTATGAGAGAAGGACCAGTGACAGTAAATCAGGCGGCTGCATATGAATGTTGATATGTTGCAAAATAGGAGAGCTTGTAGAATGTGATGTGAGAACTTGAAGGAAAAAAAAGTGAACTTTGTATGTAAAAATGTTTACTTGGATAAAAAAAATCCACTACTTTTCTCGCGCGAATCTGCGCTGCTTGAGTTTTGCAACACATTTTGTGAGACGTCTGTAGCAAAATAAATTTGTACTTGTAGAAATGCCCTCCCCCCCTTCCCCCTCGCTGTGTCTGCGTGTGGGGGGAATTGGCCAATGAGAAGTTAATTTCCAGTTGATGCACTTTATGTATTCACCACAACCACAAACTGCAAGACAGTGCAACACTTGCATTAACAGTATAAACACTATAACGACTCAAGTTACTTTTAAGAAGAGAAAGGCAAAGATACAAGACTGTGTACATCATTTTTGTCCTGAGTCAAGGGACTACCTATCCCACAATCCCTTGCGAATTATATCGTTTCTTCTGCAGCAAAAGTAGTGGATTTATTATACAAGTAAACATTTTTACATACGAGTTCACCTTTTTTCTCCTTCAAGTTCTCACATCACATTCTACAAGCTCTCCTATTTTGCAACATATCAACCTTCATAGATGCAAGCCTTTTTTTCGACAGGGGCGTTTTTAATAAAAAGTATGATCTATAGTTTCTATTTTCATTTTAGAGCCCAGTAAAGTTACAGAAGACAGCAGCATAAAGAGAGGCAACAGGATGTCCCCGTCAAGGTAAGGAACCCTGCAGCTGTTACTACTGTTGCATAGGAAATTATAAATACATGCCACTGCAAGCAGAAAAGAAAACTGTACGTTGAGATACAACGAGCTGCCTTCAAGTGTTTGATTTTTGTGTGTTTCTTTAAATGTTGAATACGCAATCAATTTTGTTTTTAAAATGTTGTGAAGTTGTTCAGACGAGAATGATGCGACATTTTATTGTTCTTTTAACCCCCAGTGCACAACATGCATCTAGCCTACAGTACGTGATCCTTTTGAGTTTATTTTTCACACTGACTTAAAGGTCCTAATTTTTATATATATATATATATATATATATATATTTACTATTCAGGACGACAAACAGTGGGAGACCATGTCCTAAATTTCAGCTTTTAATTATGTAACTTAATGTAAATAAACTTGGGGGTTTATTTCTGATTTAATTGAATCAACTGATAGCTTTACAATATCCCAAATGCTGCCTTATTAGAGCATGAATAATGTCTTCTGAAACGTTGAACTCATTTAACAGCGAGAACAGTTTTAGCACTGTGATTTTCTTATGCGCTTTGGCGACATCTGGTGGACATATTGTGCAACTTCAAACAAACAAAAACAAAAGCCCTGAGAAAAGTTATGCATGGAAAAAAACTAGACTACACTGGGTTGATTGGTTTCCCTTTTCATACAGAAAGGAGCTCCAGAAGGCCTTGTTGCGCTACACTGCAGACACCCTCATCCACATCCACACGGTGAGAGGATTCTGTGAGAGGGTCCCTGAATGGATGCTAGGGAGGGAGTCAGAGTTAAACATGATGATGGACATCAAGGACAGGGCTGACGGCATCGACCTAAACATCAGCCATGTTAGCCAGTCAGAGAAAAAAGGAAAAGCCTTTCTTGAGTACATGAAGAGCAAGGTGACACAGGTGACCGCAAAGAGCAGGTTGGAAGAGCTGGAGAAGGAGCTGGCTGCTGTGCTGAAGGACACTCTGATGGAACTGGAGAAGCTCCACTGTTTCCTGGATGCGGTAGAGAAGCTGGCAGTCACCTCACTTCATGTGTTCGTGGAGGGGAGGCAGGTGGTGTTACACCTGCCAGAGGGGGTCGGCCTCGATCATGTTCAGGTTGTGATCGCTGCTGCACGGCTGGTCTGCCATCTGCTCGTTGAGTTTAAAAGAGATGCAAGGGTCTTCTTCCAGCCCAAACTGCAGAATGTGGAAGTGCTGGCGTATCAGCTGGACAAATACATCCAGACCACCCAGAGGATCTGTGGACTGTTGGAGAAAAGGTAAACCGTCATTCCTTAAAAGAAAATCTTTATTTATTTCTAAATAGAAGTCGGTTTCAGTGAGTAAATATAACTGTGTCTTTAAAAGCACTTTCAGTGACTTCGACCTGAACATGATCAAGAAATCTGCAGTAGACCTGAATTTGGATTTATCAGAAGACGACATGGAGAGGATGCTCTATCACATCAATCAGATGGATGACATCAGGTTAGCAGCATCATTCCATATGTATGCATTCTGGTCATTTAAGTAATACAGTCAGGGTATACTCAGGATACACAATAGGTGGCCCAAGACAACGTTGATATCATGACACAGCGGTTCTGCAATAATTGATAAATTGTAAGAAAATCATAAAATTATCCATGATGATATCTAACTAATTGGAGATGACAAAATGAGCCTTCAAAGGTAAAATGCAGGATTAATGTATTTATTCACTGCCATTTGGTGTTACGTTCGCCTCATATCAGGCTTCATCTTTTCAACGCTGTTGTAGCCCACTGTCAACTTCTTTGGTCAGCTAAACTGTTCATGTTCCCTTATTTATTTCTTAAATACCACCATGATGAGTAATGAAGTCGTCTTTATTTAAAGCTACTTAATTAAAACATTTTAATATCAACATTGTGCACCTTCAGTTAGATAACTGTACCCCTCGCTTCAGTTTGACGATATATTGCCGTTGTGATATTTTGCTGTTAACGTTGCTTATGATCGTGCATGAACTGTACCGTGACGAAGCACACCTCTCCGAAGCGTGCCATGGCCAAGTAAGTGCACCGTGCTTGAGCACGGCTTGGAGCGGTCACACTGGTCAAACAAACTGGACTTTAGAGGTGAAGCGTGCTTGGGCACGGTACAGAATGCCAGTGTGACCGTGCCCTAAAAACTCTTCACAGGAGCTTTAAAGCGTTCAAGGAGGGAGGACCTCAGTTACAGTTGTGAATTATTTTGTTAAATATCCTTTTATTCATTTCCTGTTTTCTCTCTTCATCAGGATGAACCAGCACTTCTCTTTGGTGTACTTGTTTCATGACTGCTCTGGCTTCCTCGACGAGTTCAGAGATTGTCTACCTCGCCTGCTGCAGTCTCTAGATGGACTGGAGGAGATTGCTGTTCAGCTCGACTCCATGAATAAGGGGGCAAAGATCTCCAGTGTGGTGGGCAGCTCAGTGGGGGCGATTGGAGGCGTGCTTTCCATCATTGGTTTAGCATTGATTCCTGTAACAGCTGGAGTGTCTCTGGCTCTTACCATGACTGGGATAGGGCTTAGTGTCACCAGCGGGGTCAATGGCGTTGTCACTACGGCGACAGAGTTAGGAGTAAACAGTACACAACAAAAGAAAGCCGCTGAGGTCTTCGAGGGGCTCATGAAGGATTTGCAGATTCTCCAGGATTGTCTGAAGAAAGTCAGCGATCAAACTGACGCCAGAATGGAAGCAAATCAGATAGATGTAGCCTTTTGGAGTGGGCAAGGTGCTTGTCAACGGTGGTGTCATTGTAAGAGGTGTTGATGCACTTGTTGATGCTGGTCAAGCTTTACGGAACGTGCCAAAGGTGGCCACAGACATCCCAGATATCGGACAGGCAGCAATCAAAGGGCCTCTTGCCTTCTCCCAGTCCGTCAGAGCCGGTCTCATCGGGCTGAATGCTCTTTTTCTCGGCATGGATGTCTTCTTCATCTGTAAAGACAGCATCAGTCTGTCCAAAGGCAGCGAGACCGAGGCCTCACAGTTCATCAGAGCCAGAGCGGCACTGTGGCGCTCAGAGATCGACGCCTGGCAGAAAATCCACGACTCCCTGATAGAAGGTCTGCAGAAATCAGAGAAAAACAAAGCTATCCTGGAAACGCCATTTCATCCAGAGTTGGAGAGTGAGCTGAAGATGGAGACGAAGAAACAAAAACAAACCAAAATGGAAATTCCCCCTGATGAAGAGAAGGAAAACATGGAAAAGGAAGGAAAAAATTGTGTAATACAGTAGTCTTCAGGTATGATTGGCCTTTTTTCTTTTTTTTTAGCAACTTGAGCAATAAGATTTGATATTAATTTAATGTATGATCCAACAAAGAAATGATAATTGCACTTTGCTTAAAGATTACTGTTCAGGATCAAACATTGTTAAACTGAAGACTTGATGAATGTATGTAATTATTATGACATTAAGCAACTTTCGGTGCCACTTTTATTCTCGGGAATGATGTATTTTCTTTTAACCTTTTGCTGAGCCAGATTCATTTTCAAATTGAATTTGTTTTTGGAAGGCATCTTGCAACCCCCCTCACAGTGTACCCCTCCGTGTTTCCCGACCCCCTCTTTGTGAACCCCTGGTATAAGCCGCAATTCATCTTTGAAAAAGCAATTGATGTGTGGAAAAAAAGTTGGTTGATATTGCAGACTACTTTTTAATATGACTAACAATTACTATGACATTCGGTGGTGGAGAAAAAAAAAACAAAAAAACATTCAAATTGACATAACTTAATACATTTATGAGAACAGAGGCCGCTCATGCAGCATCTTCTCCTTGGATAGGAGGGAGACTGTTAGTGTCAACATGGTCATCCGCTTGTAAATCTAAAAGGAATAAACTCTCTTTTTTTAGACCAGGAAAGGAGAAAGACTCTTGTGACAGGTGCAGGGAAACTCGTGTGAGTCTGTCTGCACATGCTCATGAATATGTATTTAAACTTATTCTCACACACACACACACACACATCATTGAAAGTACAACAGCAGAAGAAATTGTGGGCGGGTTCTGAAACCCACTGGAACGCCTTCATTCTCTTCTTAGAGGAATAAATACCACTACATGCAACAGAAAGACTTTTTTACTCGTTTTGATCATTTTGGTGTAGCTCCGAGAAAGACCTGGGGCAGTCTGTGGATCTCAGCTGAGGATGCCCATCTTTCTATGAAGACTAGACAGTTGTCTGTAGGAGAAATCAATACAGTTGAATTGTCTCTCCAAAGGGAACTTGAATAAATGGGCCCTTAGCGCTTAAATGTGTGGGCTCATTAAAGGTGAAGTTATACTCATAATTGATATCTTGTGATCATATAGCCATTTCATGTTTTTGTAAACCTAATTTTTGAATAAAAAAAGAATTCCTTAGAACTCCACATCATTTTGTTCTTCCTTTATTCATATATATACACTACCAGTCAAAAGTTTGGCCATAATAGTAATATATTATTATCAATAATACAGAACACTATATTATGATAATATAACTACTGTAAGCTGTCTCTAGGGAACACATACTAATGGAAGGGGTTTTCTTTATTCTAACTATTTTCCACATTTTAGAATAATACAAAAACTATAAAACAATAAATAAAAACAATAGAACTAAAAAACATTTAATTTAATTTTTGTTTAGAAAAGAAATGCATACATACGGAGGCATCAACTTCACTATTTCTATTTATTAAGAAACACATGTCAAGCTTTTAAGCACAAGCCTTTAGATCAAAATGTACGAAAGAGGATTAGGACCACTGACTTTTTTTTTTAACAGTCGGCCTACTATTAAATGTTGTTACTGCGGAGGAAGAGGATGTGGAGATATGAAAGACTTAACATGGGAGAAGATCCAGATCAATTACAGTGTAGTTATAGCCTATACATTTAGGAAAAGGCAGAATTATTGGTAAGGACATTTGTTAAATTCCATAGTCACGAAAGTTTGAGTAATGAGGAAAGGAGTGAAAGAGAGGAAAACAATATAAAGAAATGTAGAAGCTTTGCAGGATGAGAGGGATGATGATTCAATATGTTGTTGACTTTATTTAACAGAACTGTATCAAGCTTTGAATAAATATAGAAAAACATCACCATGGAAGACATCAGGTCAGTGACTGTTTGTTAATCAAATCAAGTGATAAGGGCAAATAAATATTTACATTTATTTAAAATAATAAGATATGGGAAGAGGGATGTTTACCCTCCCATTGGAAAGAGTCATGAATTGTCCCCAAATGCAAACCAGGCAATGATTCAAGTTCAGCAGAAAGTCATAAACCAATTGTACTGACATCTTGTGTAGGGAAGAACTATGAAAACAATGATACATGAATGATTAAAATCTAATGTAGAGAGTAAGGGACTTTTAAAGGATTACCAAAGTGGATTTAGGACACGTTTAGGTTTACCAGGTCTGTCCGGCAGCCTGCCCCACCACCTGATCCATCTCGCCTCCAGGTGGGAATCAGCTGCTGACAGCTCTGGCTCCTCTCTTCACTGGAGTGTCGAGATGTGAAGATATAACTACACAGTCCATCATCGATCTTCAATCTGAGTTGTTACGGTACCAGGTACACTTACGATCATCCCAGTACACAACAAAAGAAAGACACTTATGAATGTAGGCCTACGTGGGTGTGACGAGATGAAAACGAAACCAAACACAGGGGTGTCATGTGAAGTTTTTTTCTACGGAGCTTTTCAATATAAAGTGTGATCTCTAGTCTCTATTTTCATTTTAGCCACGCAGATAAAATGAAGAGAGCCCAGTAAAGTTACAGAAGACAGCAGCATAAAGAGAGGCAACAGGATGTCCGCTTCAAGGTAAGGAACCCTGCATCTGTTACTACTGTTGCATAGGAAATTATAAATACATGCCATCGCAAGCATAAAAGTAAACAGTACGTTGAGATACAACGAGCTGCCTTCAAGTGTTTGATTTTTGTGTGTTTCTTTAAATGTTGAATACGCAATCAATTTTGTTTTTAAAATGTTGTGAAGTTGTTCAGACGAGAATGATGCGACATGTTATTGTTCTTTTAACCCCCAGTGCACAACATGCATCTAGCCTACAGTACGTGATCCTTTTGAGTTTGTTTTTCACTCTGACTTAAAGGTCGTAATTTATGTTGTAGGTCAGACTGTTTGTGCATGTGTGTGTATTTCGGCCTATGTTTGTGTAGCATGTTCACTAGACAGAGTGTAAAAACGACTTTCCCCTCGCGGGATCAAAAATAAATAATGATTATTATTCAGGACGATAAACAGTGGGAGATCATGTCCTAAATTTCAGCTTTTAATGTAAATAATGTTGGTTTTATTTCTGATTTAATTGAATCAACTGATAGCTTTACAATATCCCAAATGCTGCCTTATTAGAGCATGAATAATGTCTTCTGAAACTTTGAACTCATTTAACAGCGAGAACAGTTTTGTCACTGTGACTTTCTTATGTGCTTTGAATAGAATAGAATAGTACAGAATTACTTTATGGAGCCCAAACTGGGAAATTGTGGCGCTACAGCAGCAGGTTATCCAACACACAATGGCCCTCACTTATCAAACGTACATACGGCAGAAAAATGGGTGTATTCCACGGTCATTTCCACGCAAAGTTCGGCACACCAAGTCTCAGTTTGTGTACGCACATTTTCAACTCAGTGTGGACTGTCTGTGTCGGAGAATAATTAGATCGTACTATAACAGAGCTTGTTAAGACGGATAGATAGAGGTTCACAGATTTACTGTTAGATAAGATATCTAAAATGTATTTTATATTCGACATCAGGTGATCAGCCAGATACGCATACGTCCCACGTGGACCCTGTCGTACGATGATTTCTACACCCAAATCTGCGCTGGTTTCTACACCAGATTGATAAGTGAGGGCCAATATGAGTAAAAAATGTTTGCAAATCTAAACATAATATAATATTAAATACAAAGTAAATAAGTTCTAAAAATATCCAAACTAAGAATGTGAATAAAAACAACCAGGATTTAACTAAGCATTACTAGTCTTAAATATGAAGATTAAATATGAAAGATTAAATTT